GAATCTAAGTTATCTTCCGGTCAACTGTCCACCCAGTCAAGTGCAAAAAACACAGTAGAATCACGCAACGCACGCTGCTGGTGTGCTTCCTGCTCGCGAGGAAAGAAAGAAGAGCGACAAGGTTCAGATTTTACTGTTTGCAGCATGGGAGCAGATTCCCCAAAAAATCCCTGGGAACAATAAAAAAAAAGATATCTCGGTAACGAAAACTATAGGGGGCTGTATTGGCGAGATCCAACGCCCCCCTTTGGTGTTAACTTGCAAAGGGCATCCAGCAGGTTCCCATGGTTTTCATTACTAATGAAAGTTCAAGTTTGAAGAAAGATGCTTCTTAATTCGTGAGAAGAGTCCAAGCGAGAGACTATAACAGTCAAAAGGCCTTCGGCTAAAATACAAATAGTCATAGAGCTCGTTGTTTCACTCATAAAAGATGATGGATAAGCAGTCGTCTCTTACTATATTCCTTCCTAAGTAAGGAATGGCGGGACGGATTAAAGCAAGAATCCCTTCGGTTAACTATATCTGCTCTAGGAAATAGGCTTCAGCTGGAACAGCTATGTACATTTTTTATTTTCTATTCGCTCATGATCTGGTCTGGTCGACCCAATCATGATATTGAAGGAGGGGACCTTTTCTCGAAAAAAAAAATTCTTGCAACTACGAAAACCACAACACAAGCACCCCTTTTCCATTCATAGAGAGATCCAATCGTCAAAATCAATAAAAAGGGCAAACGATGCAATAGCTTCGGATCACATTTGACACCTAAGGTCCTTCCGAAGGTACGAAGTCACTACGTTGGGAGGCTCGCGTAGTTTGTTACGTAAGCTCCAAAAGGGTAAGTTGCTGTCATCAGGGACCTTTTATCATTATTGCTTTCTTCCTCGGTAGCTCCTTAAAGATGTATTGTGAGGACTTCAGCCTTCTAATAAGCAACTGCTAAGTTCGGTGCATTCCCTTCCTTGGTCGTCAATTCGCTCTTGGCACTCTGCTCCTCGGCTCTGTCTACCACAGCCTGAGGAAGTGTGTGACTGGATACCCAAGGGAATGTTGGAAAATGCGATTTTCAATAGTAAGAGATGCCTTCTCCCGGGCAGGCTGGCTATCTCTTTCAAGCCTTAACTCGGGGACTTCGTACCTAGAGATTCGTTTCACTATGTTCAACTCATTCGACTAAAAGGAGAGGTACGAAGTTGCTCTCGAATGCCGGGAGCTTAACTTCGACCTGAGTTTAAGCTTGAAGAAAGGTCTATTTTTAGCACCGAAAGCCTATTGGTACCAGGAGGCCGAGCCTGTAGTCAAGTTCAAGGGTCAGACAACTAGTGCCTGTGATAGTCTTGATGAAATGTTTTTAATTAAGAATTACATATATATATATTGTCTATGTCCATGTAACTAAAATGTGTTAATTGTAACTCTTTTTTACAATATAGAAAAATTGTGAAATGTTCTTTATGTTCCATTACATGGTATATTTGATGGATTTCATTTTTATACATGTTACATAGACAATAAACATCTATTTCTGATTAATTAAAGACAGTTTTTGTCTATGTGACCATAAAACACAACAAATAATACTACAAAGAGCCAAAAATTAGATGTACTTAAAAAGGGGGAGATGTAGTTACAATAAAGTGTAAGTTATAATATAGCACAATGAGATATTGTTTTCAAGAATGAAAAACAAACAAAGCAGAATTAAATTTCCCTTTTCAATTCCACCATTAAAGCAAGCAAAAGAACTGAGAACATCCAAAATTGTATTACACCCAAACTTTATATACCAAACATTACATCCTTCAAAATTTTAGAATAAAAAATTCTAGTGACATGTGACGATTACATCTTTGTCATCACCAATATTGACTTCGGCCATCGTCTGCAAGAAGCAACCTTTCAGCACACAAGTTCAACACATCTTGTTTCTGGACAAGCTGCTGACCTTCGTCCTGACTGCATTCTGCTCCCCCATCTGATTTTTTCTTCACCCTCTTGTTAGCATTTTCTGCTGCCAACTCCTTCTTTGGGAGCAGTGCAGAAGCCTCTTGTTCAACCACATTATTCGTCACTTGTTCCTGTAATACATAAACAATAAGGTATAAAATTAAAAATACGTACAATAAAATAAAGTGTTTGTAAGCCCATAAAATATACACACCTGCTCATACACAAGCTCAACAGGTCCAGGAGTCAAACAAGCTATAGCATACTCTTGGGTGTTGATGATATTATCTTGATACAACTACATACATGTACAGTGCAAAATAAAATACATGTCAATCATGTCTGGTCATATCTTGGAAAACAGACACTTCTCACCTAGTCCAAGATAAAAACAGACACTTCTCACATAGTCGAAGAAAAAACAGACACTTCTCACCTAGTCCAAGAAAAAAATAGGCACTTATCACCTATGACATGAATAACACAGACACTTCTCCCCTATGACATGAATTACACAGACACTTCTCCCCACCCAACTATAGTGTTACATAGCAGTGTACATCCCAGAATAATTCAAAAGTAAAAAACTTACATCATACACAGCTTTCTAGACAAGCTGCTGACCTTCGTCTTGACTGCATTCTGCTCCCTCATCTGCTTGCTTATCCAAAACCATAAGTGCCATTTTATTCTACCTACAAAATAAACATCCGTCATTGCCATAGTGACCGGATATAAGAGAGCAAAGAAAACTAATAACCTTAGCATAGTACTTTTATTAGAGATATGATAGTAATAAATGGGCAAAAACATGATACAAAGTACGTAAGGAAGTAACACTGAACACATACATTCTGCGTCTGTGAGTAGCATTTCACATACATTTGCCATTTTTTAAAAAACTAAACATGGAATAAAGATTATTCAGAACTTAGGGTTCATAATAGATGATCAAAAAGTAATAATTGAGACAGATAAAACATGATACAAAGCAGGAAAGAACTGTAAACAGAAAATAGATATTCCGCGTCTGTGAATAGCAGTTCACATACATTTACCATTTTTCAGACATAAACATAAATAACGGTAATTAGGAGTTTAGGGTTCATAATCCAAGATGAAAACGTAAAAATTCTGCATATGAATACCTATTTCTTCTACTTCGGACCACGAATTTCATTGGTGTATTTAATCGCTGCAATTTAACATTTTGGCTAGAAATTTGATGTAATTAAGTCCTTAAAAGATGAAAATTCAGCATAATAATACCTGGAAGGTGATGATGTTGCGAGAGACAATCACCGGCCCTGCGAGAGACAATCACCGGCGAGGGACGGCGATGAAGACAATCCGAAGGGATGAAGACAATCCGCAGGGTTGGCGCGATGAAGACAATCTGCAGGGACGGCGAAGCAGCGAAGCAAGAAAGGTCGGGGAAATGGGGGAAACCTAGAGAAAGAGAGAGAATTTT